TATTGATGATATTAACAAATTATTTTTAACATTTTTGGATACAATAATGGCACAGTAGTTAAATTTTTAAAAAATAATCCTTATCCTTTAGAGATGCATACCAATTTATATTTACTTCAAAATAATCCAGCATGTGGGAGTCAATGCAGGGGAGTGTGCATGAAGCAGCACAGATGGAATAAGATTAACTCTGAGTTGATAATTATTAAAGCTGGGGGGGAGTATGTAGCAGTTCATAAGACTAATCTACTTTTGTATGTCTGAAATTTTCCATAATAAAGATTTATTTTTTTAAAAAAGAGGGAGGTGTTAGAGAATAGATGCAATAGAATATCTGCAAGATCCTAATCCCTTGTATAGCCTTGATTTGACAAAATCGTGACATAATTCTGTGGTGACAAAAGAAGTAGAGAGTGTAATACAGCAAATCTAAATCCACACAAACCTTATAAGGAAATAACTAGAAAATGCCTAAAATTGATTAGTCAAGACATCAAAATTTAGGGATATTAATTAGAAATATGGGATACATTCCATTGGCATCAGCTAGAAGAGATGAGGGTGTCTGCCTTTAGGGACAGGACAAAATGGCAGGTTAGGGTGCTACTCTTTTAAAACTCATTGAATTTTTTAACATGTAAAAATTGACAAATATATTTTAAAATAGCAATATCTCTGAAATAGCATATAATTTAAGGTTCTCATAAACTCTAGTTCACTCTTGTGACTTAACTACTGTGAAAATTATTTCTTACTAATAGAAATCCTGTGATAATTATTTCTCTGGTGGCAGAATTTTCTATAATATAGGTATTACTAGACAACATTTATAAGGTTCTTCTGAGTTCTCACAGTATGATCTCAACAATTTGTGCATCAGCTGAACTCACTGTAAACATCCATCATTCCTATCTTTATTTTTGAAATAAAGAAAACTGATGATTTATATGGAAATTCGTTATAACCCACACTTCCTATTCAACCTCAAATTGGACTTCTCTTATGGATGCCCTAACAGAGTTGCAGAGATCTATATCAGCCACCAACCTTATGATCCCCAAAGCCCCAAAGCCACATAAACCAAGAGATCTTGCAACAAATTAGTATTTAGACTTGGCAACACCAATTTCCATGCTGTCTTATTGGAGAATGCTAGTCTGTAGAGATGATTTTGGCTTTTCTATGTTTGTTCCCAGCTAAGCAACTCATATCTCTACCTCATCAAATCACAGTCCAGAGAGACAAGTTTATTCTACAAATCTACTCTTAAGAGAGTGCATTTCCTTTCTATTATAGTCCCTGGGAGAGAGCTGAGAAAAGAGATGCTTATGAAAATATTAACACTAGTTGAAAAAATAAAGAGCACTTAGGGATGGTATAGGATTATCTAGCTAAAATAAAAGGAAGTGGGGACCAGGAAAGGGGACTCTTAGCCAGAAATGTCAGAATAAGGAAAGCACATGCTCACTTTTTTTGTATTGTTTTGTTTGTTTGTTTGTTTGTTTTTTTAAAAGCCTGAATGTCAGGAAGACAAAAAGCATCAACTCACCTTGGCCATGGCTTTCGGTATTGCAGATGATCAGTCCTCCTCAGGGTTGTTCTCCTGAAAAAGGATAGTGTTCTGAGAATACAGGACTGGGGAAGTAAAGAAATCCTCCAGGAGCCACACTAGTCTTGCAGCTCTCAGAATGGCAAGATAAAACCACCTGCACTTCCCTTGGTCTGATGACATAACTCTAGTTAGTGGAAGTGTGGAACAAATTCTACTACTTCCTCAACCCTAGAAACCCCAGGCTTTCACTGCAGCAAGATGAATCCTGGGTAGCTGGATCCAAGGGAAGACAGGGACCCAGATTCACTCTCTCACACCCAACCTAGGTCCTTCCTCCGTGAAGGGATTGAGGCCAGAAGTCAACCCACCTCAGTGATGTTGCTCTGAACTCAAGACTGAGCTCCTAAGACATGCCCTGAGCAGATCCCTCCTCTGCAGCCCTCAGGTGCTCAAGCCAGACTCACCCAGATGGTGCCCTGTGGCCAGGAATACAGTACATTCATACCAGAAGGACCAAAGACTTCCCTAATCAAGTCTTCTCGCTTCCCAACCCCAAGAAATTCAGTCAGCTTCCACCACCACGTGAGCGCGCG